GCTCCCCCAGCCAGGCTGGTCTCCTGCAGTGCTCCCCCAGCCAGGCTGGTCTCCTGCCCACTCAGAGCCCACTCAGCTGTGTGATTTTGGTTAAGCTGCTAAGCCCTCCCTGCCTCCATTTCCCTGTATTTAGGTTACAGCACAGAGTCACTGCGAGGATCAAGCGAGCTAATGGAGCTGAACCCTTATATCAGAACCTTCCACCCACAGACCAGTTGTCATGACGATGGCTTTGTGAGCCCCACCTGGACTGCAAGCCTCTTCCTCCCCTTCTCTTGTCCCTCCCACCCAAGCTAGTGCACAGGGGGTGCACAGAGGTGGCACTGAACTGCAGAATACAGGGTGCCGTGGTCTGCAGCCTACACCCCTAGTAGAACATCCAACAACAAAGCCCCAGACCAGAGGGGCAGGGGGCGGGGGAGCCTAGAACATTCAGGGGTTCTGTCTCCAGCTGCCTGGCTGTGGCTTGGCAGGAGAGTGGGAGACCCAGCAGCGCGTGATGAGCACTCGGCTCACCAGACCCCCCGTGGTCTGCTGTTGCTGGAAAACTGGGATGACGCCTCTCATTTGCCCTGTCTCCTCACTGTCACCTTGATTCTGGCACAGTCCTGGGGGACAGGGTGAGGTTCACCCTCCTCTGGTGCTGCCTCCGGTGTCCCATGGCCCAGAGAGGTTGCAAGAACTTCCCCCCAGGTCAAAGATGGTTAAGCGTCTGCTTCTGGACACTTTCTGCTCCAACCTACCCCTAGTCTGGCTCCCCAGCACCTTGCTGGACCCAGGTACCTCCATAATGAAGCGGGAGGCAGACTTTCTCTCGAAGAACAGCTTCTGCTCCCTCTTGTTGGTGCACAGGTACTTCTCCTGGGTGCACACAGCATCACAGCCATAGATGACGATGAAGATGTTGGCGTCTGTCCCGGCAGCAAAGACATCGCTGGTGTAGAGGGTGATCTCATAAGGCACAACTGAGGGTGATGGACAGAGCGGACAGGAGACCAGAAAACAGATCTAGACCAGTTCCAGTTCTTCTCCGGCCCACTGCCCAGGAACGCTTTACCAGGACCAGAGAGATGCTGCCCAGGAGGCTGGGTGGTGACACGGCTGCTTAGCAGCCTGGGAGGAGGGAGTAGCGCAGGGGATCCTGTTCCCTCATGTCCTCGGAGGAGAGGCTGACCCTAGGCGCTGTGGGCAAGCAGCGGGCAGCAACGCCCAGCCTGAGGACAGACCAGCATTATGCCAGGTGTGGAGTGAGGACTCCTTGCTTCAGAAACTCCGTGGGACTTGTTAAAAACACGGAGTCCCAAGTGTTCCTCCGATTCTCTGCAGCGGGAGTTTAGTGATCTAAATCCCGAAGCCAATCACGTAAGAGTCTCAACCACAGTTGAGATCCATTAGCAGGTTGTGAGATGAATTTAGTAGGTTGTCACTAGTAGTTTAAAATACAAATGGAATGGAATAATAGAATCAAATAGAAAATATCACGGTACATCTCACACACAGTGAAAGTAAAACATTTTTGTGACATTTTTATTTATATATCAAGGTGTATTTTGACTCTGGGTTAGAATAATAAGAAAGAAAGGTGGAAAACCCAGAGAAATGGTTCAATGGAAATCTGCCTGTGGTCAGAGCTCTTGAACTTGCTGCAAGTGTGGACACCCCCCTGGTGCCCCAGTCTCCTAGAGGAGGGGCCGCCCCTCTTTCTTCTGCTCACGCGCTGTAGAACTGAACCGAAGGCTCAGTGATAACAGCCTTATGGACACCTGCTGTCTGCCAGACCGCACACTGGGCATCCTACCGTCCCCACAGAGGCGATATCATTCCACTCCATTTTACGAATGAGAAAACCGAGCCTTAGAGAGGCGGAACTTGCCCAGGTATTATGGCTGGCCAGTGGCAACGCTTGAACTTGAAGCCAAGTTTGTGACCTCAAGTCACAACCTCTAGAGGTGCTATGAAATAGAGGCTGACGTTGCTGCCACAGGTGAGGGCTTTGGAAGTGACTGCTGGTCACTCAATGGCCTGAACAGGGAAGGCCACCACCAGTGGGTTAAGGGGAAGCCCAGTCTGGCCCTGTCAGGTTCCTAGACCGTAATAGAGGTTCTGTCTTTGCAGGCTGCAGTCCCTCCCTCTCAGCCCTCTTGTGCTCAGGCCTGGGATGCCTTGGGCTTTCATGAGATTAGCTGGCAGTGGGAAAGCCCTAGAAATGTCCACACAGGTGCAGCCATCTACAGCCCCACATTGCTCTAGGCCTGGGCTCAGATCTGCTCCTGATTTCTAGTTCTCGCCACTAAGCAGCTGTGTGTCCTACGGCAAATGGCTATATCTCCATGGCCCCCGGGTTCCTTGTGTTTAGAGTGAAGGAGCTTGACCAGATCTGTGGTATTCAGTTTAACTGTGGAATTCTTATAATACACTCGTGACGAATGTTCAGGGAAAAAACATGACCCTCCCTCCCTCCCTCCTGGCAAATGTTAGGGCAAGACAGCAGATGGGCAGTATTTCGTATCAGGCTGAAACTGAGTAACTTCAAAGTGAGATCATACAGTCTTTGTCTTTCTGTGCATAGGAGGGCCTAATCTGGGGCCTGAGGGAGCAGGACACTTCTGTTTTGAAGATGCCCATCCACGCCACTGCCAGCCCTGTGCACCTGACAGTCCTGTCCAGCGCTGAAGGTGGCTTCTGAGGCAGAAGCTGGCTCTGGAGTTTTGCTTTGTACATGCAGGGGACTTGACCAGAGGAAAATGTCACTTTACTGAGGCTTTGAACCATTTTGATGATCTGGCCATTTCCAGTTTAACAATTTTAGACAAAAAAAGGAAAAAATGCTCCTCAGTGATTCCTTCTGTGTTAAGTATGAAATAGTTGGGGGCAGGGGAGGGGGGAAACCTTTGGGTATAGCTAATTCTTTGCTTAGAAAATAAATGTAGTCTCTGGTTTTGGTTCAGATTTGAGAATATTCAGATGGATTTTTATAGTTTGCTTGATTTTCAGACCTAAGATGTACTTAAATGCATTTCAAATTAATAAACACTTTCTGATGATGAAAGTAGCCAAAGAGTCAAAACACCACCAGCGTGCTCCCCATGCCATTCCCCTCCCTTTAGTTAGCAAAAGAAACTACATTTACCTTCTTCTCAAATTTTCCCCCAATCAAGATAAAATCTGTCAGTGGTGATTTCTTTGGTGTGTTAGTGGCTGGAATGAGGACTCGTGATAGGATTGGTATAACCTCTCACAGTTAGACCTTTATCTTTCTTTCAGAACCTTACAACCATTCTGCATTTTTATCTCAGTCTTGCAGACAGAAAACTCAGCTGGAGAACTTAAGCTCCAGGCCTGTTTTCACTAGCCAGAATGGGGTAGTTTGGAGTAAGTCCCAGATTTCCTTTCCCTGGACCCAGGCCTCCCCACACAGCCCACACAGGGCCTGCAGAATTTGGGAAGGGTGCAAGAGACCCAGATCTGCGAGGCAGGCTGGCCCAGAGGACCCTGGAGGAGGGCAAGGGGTGGGCAGGGAGCAAGCCAGCCTTGCCGTGCTTGGTTCCTACATGGTGTGTACAGCCTCGTCTGGAGCTCCGCATGGAAGAGGTCCCTGGCGATGGTCCCATCGTCTTCGTTTTTGGCCAGCCAGCGGCCACAGGGGAACGTCATACACTTTCCAAGAGATGGGGCATCCACCTCTACCCAGTCTACAAACCAGCCTGGAGCCTTGCCTGGAGGAAAGGAGACACAAAACCCATCAAGGACATCTTAGGTGGTTTCCTTGGCAAATTCAGGGACTCGGAACATCCTTCCCTACTCAACCACTGTGGCCTGTGGCACCACCATGAACATGCCATTGCTTTTGCTCAGAGCATTAAGTGATAGTTCCTAAAAATGTGCACCAAGCTGAGGCTGGATAACACTCCAGCCAGACTGGCAAGAGTGAAGAAACACACGGAAGAGATGGCAGAAGGGTAGGGAGTCTGAGTGGAGGGAGCAAGGATATTGTCTCTCCAAACAGGGAACTCAGGAATGCCCAAGAGGGCTTGTGTTAGGGAGAACTTCATAACTGCATGCCCGGCTCTCTGGTCTGATGTTCGAAGGGAAGGAAGTCAGTGAAGGATCAATGATCCTACCTGGGAAAAATGACTGCTCAGGTTTAAAGAAGGAAATGGAAGTCAGGAACTAGGAGCAGAGATTCCTTCCCTAGTCTTAGAAGACATGGTTTGAAGACCAAGAAAATGAATTCTTTTTACCGGAAAGAGAGTAACTTGAACAAGCCCTGTGGTTGTGGTGTATGTGGGCTCTCAGGATTGACTAGACCAGTGTTCTGCAAAATGAGGTCCCCACACCTGCGGCCTCAGCATCCCTTAAGAGAGAAGTAAATTTCCAGCCCCACCCCAGACCTACTGAATCAAAAGCTATGGGGATGGGGACCAGAAGTCTGTGCTTTAAAAAGCTCCCATGTGGCTCTGATGCACACTCAGGTTTGAGAACCACGAGCTACTTCAGGGATTCTCAAGTCTGGCTACACATTAAAATTCCTAAGGATTGGGGGTGGGAAAAGGCTTCAAAAATGTCCAAAATCCAGGTACCACTCAGACCAGTTAGAACAGACTCTCGGTAGCCAGAACTCCCTGGGGGTGAAAGGATTGAGGAAGGTGTGTGGTGGAAGGCAGATGATATCCAAGTTTCTGACAGCCAACCCCTTGACTGTTGTGGTCCTTACACTCTTAGTAGGAACAGAGCAGGGCAGGGAGAGGGTGGGAACCAGACCTGTGTTGTCATGCCCGATCCTGACTTTCCACAGATCTCCCAGGCCCAGTGCCTCCACGGTGAAGATTTCAATGCTGTCCCTTTCAAACTTGTCACTGTTGGTTTTGGAGGACTTGAGGAGGGTCATTCCTGCCAACCAATGATCCCAGTATGATTGGCTGGGCCCAACATCTTGTAAACCTAGACTTTTAGACCCCTGTCTTCTCAAGATTCTGAGAAGGTTCTGTGAGTTCATCAACTTTAGACCATACTTTTATAATCCACTCCACACCTTTGCACCTTTGGCATTTGGGGAGGGGTGTCCTTTTTTTTTTCATTATTATTTTTAGTTTATTTTTGCATATTTTTGTGCATTTTTCCATCTCAGTTGCAATCCCCTTGGGTTTCCATCACCAAATCACCCTTGTGCCATCACCATAGTCCAGTGGGGGATGGGTGTCCTTTTATTAAACTTTGCAGTTTAATATGTAATTTATTAAATTACATATGTAATTTATTTCTAGTTTATATCTAAAGAAGATGAGACACACCAAAATGTTAAGTGTTGAACCAGGACAAGAAGGTAGTGGGACCTTGAGTCGATATCTTCCCTCCTCCCAAACCCCTCACATTTCCCATATGGGGAAGAAGCCAGTGACAGAGCCACCTCCCTGTGTTTCCTGGGGAATAAGGGCTCTCTTCTGTCAGGCCTCTCTGAATGGTAGAGGGAGGGACAGCTTTAAATGCTCCCACCTGTCATCCCTCTTGGTCTTTCCTGGGACTGGCTGTGCTGTCAGTCTGAAATTTGAGAGTCAGCCCCTCCTCTCCTGCCTCAGCAAGAAATACACTGCTTCCAGGGCCCCCTCACCCTTGGACATCCCAGTTTTCTTGTGGGTGCAGCCTCTTCAAATAACTAGCTGCGTACCAACTCTATTTGAGCCCCTTAGTTGAGACCAGGGAGTAGGCTACCTATTAATTGTTGATTTTAGTAAACATTTTGAAAGTTCCACTGATCTCAGTCTCCCTGGGGAGGAATTGGTGACACTCAACCCTATGCTGCTTTCTTACCAGTGTCGTCTTTTGTGCCAAAGAGCGTGATGAAGACATTGGCATCTGTGCCTGCATTCTTCTTGTCCCCAGTCTTTATGGTCACTGAGAATGTGGTAGATTTATCTGTCAGGGAAGAAACGGTAGCTTGTAAGTGGTAGCTTGCTCCTCCTGTGAAGGGCACTTCCACTGGGTTCCTCAATCCAGTTCTTCCTGCCCCTTCGGTACTATATCTGTGAACCCCATGACTAGTCCTGAGTTGTTTCTATGTTCCTGTTGACCAGCTCTATGAATCATTTGTTCATGGGTTGTTCAGCAGGTGTCTTCATTCTGGAAATTTCCTGAAGGCAGATATAAGGTCTTCCCCCATCTCAGCTCACTCACCCAAGAAAATTTCAATAATAGAGTTGTAGGAAACTTAGGGGTCCCTTGGGGTGTCTGTGAGGGTTAGAGGCTCATCAACTGGGAGCCCTGGCCTGACTTCTTGGTCGGGAAGTGTTTTAAGGAAGGGAGCACAAATTTTGAGGAAGGAGCATAAGCTTCCTAGAACTCCTTTTCCCTGACAATAAGATATAGAGAAATTATCATGTTCCTAGAGGGGAGGAACAAGATCAAGTTCGGACACTTACAACTGTTCCATTCCATCCCATCCCATCCATCTCAGACAACAAATAGGTCTTCACAAAGTCTCATACTTTATGCCCAGCCTTTTGCTAGATACATGGGGACTGCCCCCTCCCGCTCTCGCCATGGGGAAGTAGAGGTGAGTATAGGAAGACAGGTCATTACAGCTCGAGAAGGAAATACCCGGAGCCCACAGGAGAAGGGGATGGGGAGCCCTAGGATCAGGGAGAAGCAGGAGAAAGGGATGCTGGAGGGAATAAATCAGTTCAAATTTAGGAGACCTTTCTGCTCCAGGGCAAGGCTGTCAAGGGGGTTGTTGTCTGCACCTCCCTCCTCATCCTCTGGGGGCAGCACATAGGACTCATCCACAGGCAGCAGCTCCCTGGACAGCTGGCCGTCGTCCTCCTCCACCGCCAGCCAGCGCTGGCACGGGAAGTAGTAGCTGTGGGGTGGGGAGCGAGGCACGTCTCATGAAGGAGAAACCGTGACAAGAAGTCGGAGCCCCAGTACCTTCCCCTGCCTCCCCAGCCCCACCTGAGCACTGTGCTCCCATCCTACCTAGAAAAGGGGCTACTTTCTGGAAAGGTCAATCGGCCAGTGCTACTTTAGCAGAGAGCGTTGTGCACAGGAGGAGTTCAATACATAATGCAGAACTGACAGATTTTAATAAAATGACCCAGTTATGCCCAAATAGTATGGCCAAGGAACTGGGGTAGTCGACAGCTGGGAGCATCTAGACGCCAGTGTGGCGCGGCAGGCCCGGTCAAGGGAGGGAAGGGAAGGAGGGGCGGGCGTGAGAGAGGCAGCAGAGGGTGACTGAGGACTGGCCTCAAGGGCCCGACCAGAGCCCCACTTGTAGTCATGCGACCCTGAGCTGAACTGATCGTTACCTTTTTGTGTTAGAGTTGCCAGAATTAGGCAATAAGTGACTTCCAATTAAACTTGAACTTTAGATAAGCAAAGAACAATGCTTTTGTATATGTTATTCAGCATCTGGGCTATCCTTATGCTGAAGCCTTATTCACTGATAGTCTGAAATTCAAAATGAATGGGTCATTTTTTAATTTCTTCTGACAACCCTACTCTGTGCTTCAGGATGTCATTTCTGTAAAATGAGGACAACATTACCTCATACGTTGCTGTGAGGATTACACTTGTTGAACATTTTAAAGTGTCTAAAAATGCCCAATGCTAGGTATCTCTTGGAAGAATTCATTAATGCTATTGTAGCTACTGCTATTGCCTTGCATCCTTCCCTTCGTCTCAGTCCAAGTCTAGAAGCTCGCGGGGTTGGGGCAGAACTTCCCACAGGTCCTTAAGCTCCTAGAATAACTCAGTGTCCAAAATGCAATCTAAGTTGGGGCCATTTCACCTCCTCTGCACCCTTCTTCACCCCCGGCCAGATGCATAAGATGCATTCCGGAACTGAGTAAAGTCTGGGGAGCTGGGAGCAGTGTGGGCTGAGGGTTTCCCTCTGTACGATCCCCACAGTCTCTTCCAGTGTTTATTGCCTGCAAGTGCCCACACATTTGAGGAGCATGCCCTCAGCCCATGGACTCTAAGGGTTGCGGGTGTGGGGGGGCGGGCAGTTTTATATTGACGGATGGGAGGAACTCAGTGTGGTGCTGTAGAAACTAAACTGCCATTAAATTAGTGTTTAAGCGAAAAATTTATATTGTTCCACTTTCTCAGTCTTTAAATGTATGAATGGGAAAGTTAAATTTTTATTCAACCAAATAACTTATGAATAATAGACGTTAGCTCCAAATTATGGCCAATTAAGGGAGACAGAAATAAAGAAAGGGGCAGAGGCGGAGACAGTCAGAGTGTGGGAAGCTGGAGGAGAACAAGGACACGGAGAAACGCACAAAGAGAGTCAGGGAGACGTATTCAGGGAGAAAGAGGAAAAAAAAACAGAAAGACAGAAACAGGCACACACCAGCCCTCCCACAGTGAGCAGGGCACCTGCATGAGGCTGGCGTGTCAGGGATCACCCGCACTGTCCAGGCGCCCTGCTCCGCTGTGTTACCTGCACCTGGCTCCCTGCACCTGAGCGGCCACAGCCGCCCCCATCAGCAACTCTCCTCCAGAATCCAGTTCCTCGGGAGCGGGGATCTGAGTGTTGGGCTTCAGCCTCTGACCCAAGGGCCAGCAAGCACCCTGGAAGGTTGTAGGGGGCCCAGTGATCCCTGCCCCTTCCTTCCATAGTCCTGCTTAACTGGGTCTGGGTCCCAGGGAAGGGAGTAGGCAAGGATTTTAAGGTGCAAAGGAGAAGAGAGGTATGTAGTTCTGACCAGATACGTCGAACAGTCCTCTCAGGAAGGGCTATGGTGAGTGGACAGTCTAAAGGGGGTGTCGAAATTCTAAGTTTACGACTACTGAAAGTGCAAGATTCAATTAAAAGTAAAAATTGAATGAACAGATTGCAAAATTGAATGTTAGAAAACGTGTATGATTGTAGATGGGCTTTTCCATACTGTGCTGACAGTAAAGACTGCACCATACTAAGTATAAGTCACTGGTGATACTGGTAGAGTGTCTAGCAGCAAGAGTGTGGGCGTGGAATGCAGGAACCTTGAGTTTGTGACATGCTATATGACCCCCAGACCCTCACTTTCATCCCCAAGATGACATCATCTGTAAGGACTTTTCTTTCTCAATATTCCATGAGCCCCAAGAACCCTGGAAGAGCAAAGGGTGCCAGAAAACATCTTCTTGTTAAATGAAACTTAAGAGGAAAACCTGAATGTATCTTTTTTTAAGATTTAAATGAAATTTATTTATGCATACAAGAACTGGGGTGTAGGCCACAGGTGGGGGGGGCGGTGAGAAGATTTACCAGAGACAGAACAAAGAGCAGAACAGGTGGATCTACTGAAATACACTGCTGACAGGAGCAGAAGAGGTCTGCTGCACCATGTGGGTCACCTTCCATGTGGGGATTGAACTTATGCTGCAATGGCTGCCGATAGCTTCATAAAGCTGAGACTTAACCCCTTGCACCACCAGGGAGGTCCCTGAACAAACTTTTTGTTCAACCTGCACTGCTGAAATTCCACTCAACATGCTTGCAACAGGTAATGGAATCCAATCCTTCAATGATTAAGGATCTAATAGGGCCTCCAAAATACTCATCAGAACAGGAACCTTTGCCTTGGGGACAAAAATGGAGGTGAAGAAAGCATATTCCTGAATGAATAGAGGAAGGATAGTCTCCCCAAGATGTTCGGATAAGCCTTCAAGACAGCTCAGCTTGGCAGGTGCATTATCTCCAGCTGAGGCCGATTGAGACTCTATAGGCTTCAAGACAAATATTTACCATGACCTTAATTACCTAGAGGAATTGAAGATTGCGGCACCATCCAGATTTAGCCTTATCTTCAAGAAATAATCTTTTTGATCAAAGAAAACCATCAAATGGCAGTTGATAAACACAAAATGACAGAACACCTAGTTTTCATCATTTGTATGCCCCTCCCCTCTCCCTGATACCCAGGACCCTAACCCATTCATTAACTTGGGGTAAAAAACGTTTGGTTGGTTCTATTTAGTGCAGAACATACAAGCAGGTAGATTCTCCATATGCATGTAATTTAATTTCTTTTTCTTCTACTGATGTGTCTGTGTTAATTTCATTAGTCTACCAGCCTGAGAAGTCTGAGGGGTAGGGAGAAATTTCCTCTCTGCCCATGCATGACTCAGAGAATAGGGAAGAGAGTATAACGGGGGGCCCTCAGGGAAAGGAGGACATCTGTTCACCCAAAGGAGGATCCAGCAGTTTCCCCTCCAGGCTGGCTGGCTGGGGCAGGGAACCTGGAACCTCTGCTTTTCTTGGGGACCACTCTGTTACAAGAGGAGTGGAGGAAGGAAGGAAACAGAGAAATACGTAGAAGAAAGATGAGTGGTGAGCAAGTCATTACAAGAGGGTTGCAAAAGGAAAGTAGCTGGGCATAGACTTAACAAGCTTGTGCAGCAGTTCTCTGCAGAAATTCTAAGTATGCCTTAGATAGCCAAGGAGACAACATCTGGTCAGAACAATTCCGCTCCACCCCACCCCATCCCGACAAGAGGTCTATACAAAGTCTCATTCTTTATGCCCAGCCTTTTGCTAGACATGTGGGGACATCCTCTCCCACTCTTGCCAAGGGGAAACACGAGGCCAGTATAGCCAGAGGGGAATGAGGCCCTAATTGCTCCAGGGCTCTTGCCTCACACCCTGGGCTCTGTTCCTCCCTCCGTCAGAGGACACTCCCCTTTCCAACCGAACGGGGCCAGCACAGTCTGGCCTGTGGGCTAACTCTGATCCACCATCTCTTCATGTACTTCCCACAAGCTAACATGGATTTTTCATGTTTAAATGCTGAAAAATTTCTAAAGAGCAATCAAAAAATTACATGAGATTCAAGTTTCAGTTTTTTAAATTGTTGCTGCAATGCATTCATCGGTGGCTTTCCTGTTGCAAAGCTGGAGTAATTGAGACTGAGACTGAGTACCCCCCACCCTCCCGCACCCTGAAAATGGAACTATTTACTCTGATCTTTACAGAAAAGGTTTGCTTATCCCTAGTCTAGCATGTTAAAGCAAAACTGTGTTGAAAATTGCTTTGCTTATGGAGAAACTTCTACAGGCAAGTAAGTATGGGCATGAAGTCAGGGCCAGTGAAGTTAAGGTGAGCATGGAGTTGGGGCAGGGAGAGAAATGCCCACATCTCTGAATTGATGGACCGCAGAGCTGGATCAGACGTCCAACTGGAACCTGTCTGGGCAAGTACCCCAGGGGCTGCCCAATGAGAAGGAAGTGGGGGCCAGTGGCCACTGGGCCAGCTACAAGAGTCACCTTGGCCCTCAGCCATCACAGCTACACCCCTGGGACCCCACCCTCTTTCCCGGGCTTTCTCAGGAGCGTGCGTGATCCATCCCTCCCGAACCTCCCAGAACTCACGTGGTCTCATCGTTCACATCAGTGATGTCTATTCTGTCCAGGAACCAGCCTGGTCTGTTGCCTGAATTGTCATGGCGAATCCGAATCTTGGTCAGAGCCCCCAAGTCAATGGCGTGGATGGTAAAGGTATCTGTCTGGGGCAGGGTAGGGTGGCACTCAGAGGGGCAGCATCCATCTCAGCCTGCCCTGCAGCGCCACCCTCCTGGGACCCAGGGCAGCCAGCCATAGATCAGGCATAAAGACTGAAGCAGGGGGCAGGGGAGGGAGACAGTTGGTTGTGTGGTTGGCTGGCATGATTATTTTTTAAGCTTGCACTGCCAGAGGTTATTCGCCTTCTCACCATGTCCCCAGAGGGTAGAGCGAAGGGCAGAGGAGAATCCAGCCTGGCTGGAGGCCCACGTTTGTGTTGCGTGTTGTGTATATGTGGGTGTGCCGAGCTGGATGCTGTGTGAGCATGTGTGTGTGTAATCTCCTTCGATCACAAGTTGTAAGCACCTGTACAGAGCCAACGTGCAAATGCAAAGTGATTTACAGACTCCAACGTGCCAATGCAAAGCAATTTATAGACTCCAATGTGCAAATGCGAGGTGATTTACAGGCTCCACCGTGCAAATCCAAAGTGATTTACGGAAACAGATTTGGACTTCCCCGGAGGGTGGGGGACAGACGTGCATCTCACAGGTGCCGGCCGTGCATGGAGGGAGCAGGCGGGGCAGGACCCATGCCACAGATGGGTCTTCAGCTGCCACAGTTTTTAACTCTTTCTATTGAAATAGATTTTCAGATTTACAGAAAACAAACAGAAATTGTGCACTGAAGCTTTGTGTGCCCTTCAGCTAGCTCCTGCTCTTATTTGTCGCTCTTTATTTTTCTTGGGTCATTTGAAAGTCAGTGGCAAATGTCAAGACTTCTTCACCCCTAAATTCTCCAACATCATTTCCTACGAATAGGTCATTCGGAGTACAATATATTTAGAGTACAGTTACCAGTCAGGAGACGACATTGGCACGATATTGTCATCCAATATCCAGTCCACATTTAAGTTTCATCAGTTGGACTAGTTAGAGTCTATGGGGTAAATCTCTTCCCACCCAGGAAGAGACTCTAATTTTTATAGGAAAGCACTAAAACACCGAAATAGATGCCAGAGCGCTGGACTGATCACAGAGCACCGGGAAGATTCGCCGCCCTTAAATGATCGCCACATCTTTGCCCATGCAACCCTGGCTCTGAGAATACCTCTCACACACACCATAGCTCACCCAGGTCCTGGCTCTCCTTCCCACCACGCTTCCCCAAAGCCCCATCTGGTGGCCACCTTGCCTCCCTTGCACCCCTGCCACAAAGCAGCTGCACTAATGGAGAAGGCGCTTCGGCTACCCCTGGGTGGGAAGCAAAGAAAGTCAATGGATAGATGCCATGCTGGGTGAGGCGGCTTTGGGAATCACCAGCAAGCACCACAGCCCCTTTGGGGTGCCAACCACCCACCCAGGGCCAGGCCAGAGAGCCCACACTCTACCTGCCCCTGCTCGAACTTGTTGGACTTGTCCGACTTCTTCAGAGGCCGCTCACCCGTGTCTCCGTACTCCTCGCCATAGATCGTCAGGTAGACGTTGGCATCAGTGCCAGCCTTGGGCACATTCCCTGTGATCACCTGGACCTCGTAGGTGTTGGCTGGGGCCAAGGAGAGACACAAATTTGAGGATGCCTGGCCTGGAGTGGACTTGAGGCTCAGCCTGTCAGGTCCAGCCAGATTGTGGGAGCAGGAGAAACCTGTAGCTACACCTGACCTATTTAACCTGGTACCACACCTGCCCCCTCCTTACCCCAGACCTCCTTCACAAGAAGGCCAGGACAGAGTCATGGCAAAAGTCACCTTCAGCCACCCTCCCAATGATGTCCCCCCAGTGCCTTATAGTGCACCATGGCAGGCGCCCCAGAGTCAAAGACCCCTTTGAGAGCCTCAGAACCCCAGCAATCCTAATCTGAAACCCAGACAGAGAACAGTGTAGGGCTTTTCCCTCATGGGAAAATTCAAGAGAGCTATCTGGGAACCACAGTGGGTGCCCATCTATCGGACCCTTGTGTAAGAGTAAGTTAGAGACCCTCTCCCTTCCTTGGGCCCCGTCAGGGAGTGGGCTGACCCCTCCGCTGGCTTACGCTCAGGGCCCGGCCGCCCCGCGGGCACCAGTTCCACCACAAGTTCATTGTCCTCCTTGCCGCGGGCCAGCCAGCGGTGGGCTTCGAACTTGTACTCCTCGATCACCTCCTGCATCCCCGGCCCGAACTCCTCCTCTTCCTCCTCCTCCTCCGTCTCTTCCTCCTCCTCTTCAGAGGAGGACTCCTCTGAGGAAGACTCCTCCTCCTCCTCCTCCCCTTCATCCTCCTCGTCGCTGCCTTTCTTCTTTTTCTTCTTCTTCCTCTGCAGCTTGGCCTTCAGCCGCTCCTTCTTGAGTAGCTGCCGCAGCTTGTCCTTTTCCTTCTTCCGCCGGGCCTCCTCCTCAGGCGTGAGGTCCACCTCCTTCACCACCAGGTGCCGCAGCCACAGCGTGTCCACGAACCAGCTGGGCCCGAAGCCCTCGCCCGTGTGCCCCAGCCGGATCTTGAAGATCTCACCCACGTCTGCCGCCTCCAGCTGCACAAAGTGCAGGGCTGTGGCTGGAGGCCCTGGGGAACCTCCCACCTCCCCTGGGGACCTTCCACCTCCCCTGGGGACCTCCTGCTTCCCCTGGGGACCTCCTGCTTCCCCTGAGGTCCTCCCGCCTCCCTGAGGTCTTTCCGCCTCCCCTGGGGTCCTCCTGCCTCCCCTGGGGTCCTTCCGCCTCCCCTGGGATCCTCCCGCCTCCCCTGGGGGCCTCCTGCCTCCCCTGGGGACCTCCTGCTTCCCCTGGGGTCCTTCTGCCACCCCTGCTGAGCTGGGGCCCCCGCGGAGTAGCATAACCTGGGGTCCAAGCAGCCACAATCAGAGGCTTCCAGCAGCTCTTTCACACCTACCGTTTCATCCTGCTTTCTCTGCTGACCCCCAGGCCTCTTCCTGGGCTTGCTGTCTACCCAGATGCTATTTCCCAAACGCTATGGTCAGGTTGGTGCTGTTTCTCCCTCCACCCCATCCACACACACACGCACATGCACACTCACAAGTAATCATCACATCACACTCATTCCTATTACTCCTGTTTCCACACCTTGGCTCAGGCAGGTCTTCATTCTCTCCTCTAGTTCAACCTATAACTTATTCATTCTTATTCCTAAGCCTTTTAACTACGTGTTTATTTTTCAGTTTGTGTTTTCCTGTGATCTCTTTCCAATTTTTTTTCAGTATTAATCTTCCTTTAACTTTTATATAAGTAAAAAATAAGTTTATTTTTGAAAAACAAAAATCTCACCCTGTCCCCACTGGGCTCTGCTCCCTTCTCCTAGCAGAGTTCAGAGGGGTTCTAGAACTTGTCTACCATCCTGGCCTGTCCTGGATACCCACTTTGCCCACACGAACTGGCTTCTGCCCACCCAAGTGAGAATTCTCTAAGGGCAGCATCCCTGCATGTTACTTCTCTCCCCATGGGCCACATACAGCGGGCCCAAAGGTCTGATGCATTTACTTCCTCAGGTCCTTGGCCTTCAACCTACCATTCTGTTCAAGGCTCACAGCGAGGGCAGGTGTGATCCTGCACAGCTCCGGGAGGTGCTCACTTGGGCCCCTGCACAAGGCCAGGTCCCAACAGCTCACCCACTTGAATGGGTAAAATCAATAGCGAAGGTGGAACCCAGGACCTGGGAGAGAGGAGTTTGTTCTAGCTGTGTAGCCACAGGGCCTGGCCAGTCCTTCTGCACATTAGTTCTCTTTTTCGAGTTTTCCGGGCCACAGAATCCCTGCAATCAAGCTCGCCGCCTCCCCTTCCCCACCTCCGCCTGGGCAGCTGTGGGTGTACCCTCGCATCCAGCTGCAGGTCAGTCAGCATCCAGAAGATGCCTTGCTCTGTCCCATCTTCTCATGAATTTTCCCAAGTATTTTCCTGATACTTGTTAAAGAAAAAATAAGAAAGAAAAGTATTTTCCTGATATTAGCTATTTTGAAACTTCCAGGGACTGTGAAACAGGCTAATAGCAATTGCAAAGCTAGGTTTGAACTGAGGAAGATGCTGAGGCTCAGAGAGAGAAAATGCCAAGGCCTCTGCCTCCTCAGCCACGTACTGAGGGGCTGACACATTGGGGACTTTTGGCAATACTGTTTACATCCTAAACCTGCAACCCAGGCCCAGTCAGCCAGGAACTTCTCTTCTGGGCACTGGGCTAGCTCTTTGCTGACCAGCTGTGGCACACATCCAGACACAGAACGCCCAGCATGAATGTCCTCCCTGAACACATACATCACGTACACACACGTGCACTCACATACACATCACACGTGCATGTATACGCAGGTCTTACATACACACATATGAAATATGTATTTGTCCCCAAAGGCACAGTGCATCACTCTCCTCTCCGACCTACCACATGCTCACAGTCTCATCTTTTCTTCTCTACCCAAAGGGGTAGAGAATAGCATGAGACTCCAAAGCCCCTTAATATCCTGCTTGGAAGTATAGCCCTGTCCTAAGGCCAAGAGATCTACACAACCAAGAGGCTGCAGGGCTGGAAGTAGCTCAGGGCCTAGGGCTGCATTTTGTAAGCTGGAACCATCCAGTAGTGTCAGATTGGCAGCATGTGACTGCCATTGGTAGAACTCTCCATTGGTAGAAACACACCCAGAAAACATAATCCACCCAAGAGGCTAACTGAACTAATCCTGGTGTGGAGTAGGAAAAACTATTTTCTCGAGTTACCAAGGGATGAAAAGCACGGATTTAGCCCAATGCCTTTATTTTCGCATGTCTGCTATGCCCTCTGCTGACACCCCCACGGCCTTGCCCCCACACACCTGGAATGTGTCCTTGGATGCCCGATCAAAGACTTTTGAGCGGCTGGAAAGAAAGAGCACTTCTGTCTTGCCTTCCTCACCATAGATCTGCATGTAGACTTGGGAAGTGGTGCCTGCACCGCCCACATCACCTGTCCAAATCTCAACCTCATAATGGACCACTGGGTGGGCACATGGAAGAGAAATGGGACATTTATAATTATTTTATAATTATGATTGTTAAAAAGTAAGAATAATAATAACAATGGTAAAGACACAAAACAGACATCTCCCATGTCTATGCTATGTGTTGGAGCTTCTTAGACGTTATCTCATCAATATCATGGTTAAATCCTATCACTCCCATTTTGCAGAAAGACAAACTGAGGCTCAGAGGAATCAAGCAGCTGGCTGAAATGACAAACCCAAGCAATCAGACTCCAAAACCCGTCCATCCACTGGGCCATGTGTATCAGGCACCATGAGAGAGAAGTCATGTCAACTGGCACTCCCTGCTGTGTGCCTAACCTGGCAGATGCCAGAGACAGAAAGAAGCAAAGGCTGTGTTTGTTTCTCTTCCTTTTTTCAGTAAAGGCCAAGGGGTTGAAATTATAATCTTCACTTAAACTTTCAGATGACATCAACAAATACTTCTACACAGAGAGAGTTGCCATATTTTGAAGTAGTACTTAATTACTAAGCTAGTTAAAGGGTGGAAGTGTGTTACATGTAAGCACCACTAGAGGTCAATGGAGAGAAAAATGTCCAGAAGAGCCATGGGGCCATGTTTTTTCAGAATGACCATTACAAGGCTCTTGGCCATACTTGGCCATACTTATAAGACAATATCATGATTTTTTTTTTTCAAGAAAATACTGTTACTTTCAACAATATGGAGAACCATGCAGTGTGAGAAATTGAGTGCTGAAAATATGAGGACTGGCTAGGACCCCGGAGAAGCTGAACCAGAGCTACTAGGCTCATTTGGGAGTGAAGGTAGATTAGCACATGGATCACAAGGAGACCCAGTAAAACTGGCATTCTGAATAATGAGAAGGCCCAGCTTCATTCTCTTCCTTGGTTCTCAGACTAATAGGCAATGAGAATTACAGGCAATGAAAATGAAGATGAATACAAATGAATATTCAGAAAACAAGAGCCAGTTATTGTAAATGTAGCAGCTTAAATAAATATTCACCAGCAAGGATAAAGTCAAGGATCGTTCTCAAGAACAAAAGGGAAATTTCCCAAGAATAAAATTACAAATGACAGAAAAAGCAAGAAAATCAAAGGAGGTAGAATATTTAAATGTTCAGTTCTAAAGGCAATTGAGCTGGAAATTGTCAAAAAAATAATACATGAAAATACTCCAGAATTAACAAATACTTCCAGATTGAAGTAGCCCCTGAGTTCCTAGAGCAATGACTGAAACTAAAATTACAAAAGGTAGAGAGACCATCTTGAAATTTCAGGATGCCAAAGATAAAGAGAGTTTTCTATAAGCTGTTGGAGAAGACAAATAGCCCAAAGGTGTATAGTACAGAGGCATCTGACTTCTCAGCTGTAACACTGGAAACTAGAAGATAGTAGAGTAATTCCTTCTAATCTCTAAGGGGAAGTGGGTTCTAACTCAGATTTATGTTACAACAGGCCAATCCATTGATTAATTTTGAGAATAGAATGAAGACATTTGCAGACATAGTAAGTCTTAGCATGTCTCATCCATACACCTTTATTAGGAAGTTACTCGTAGAGAAAGAACTCTACTAAATTAAGGGAATCTACCAAAGTAGAAGACATGAAATACAAGAAGTGGATATTCCAATCCACAAGAGAGGCATTTCCAAAAGATGGTAAAAAGGAAAAGGAAAGAACACCTTCATGGAAACCAGAGAGCAGAAGGGCAGAAGTTCTTAAAGGAATCTCTTAAGTTGGAGTGGGAGAGAAAGAGGTAGAGAAGAAACCATAATTCTCTTTGGGTTTGAAAGTAGGAAGAGAATTTTGGTTCTACTGGAGACATGGAAATTAGATGGTGTTATAGGTATGTCACCACTACCCCTCCCAAATTGCTATACTGAAGCCTAACCCCTATACTGAAGCCTAACCCCTAGTGTCTCAGGATATGACTGTTATCTTTGGATACAGAGTCTGTAAAGGGGAAATTATGTGAATTTAGGATATTAGACCAATCAGATATGACTGGTACACACAGAAAGACTATATGCAGACACAGCAAGGAGGCAGTCATCTCCAAACAAGGAGATAATCCTTATACAAAATGCAATTTGTTCTTACCCTTATTTTGAATTTCACTTTCTGGAACCCATAGATAGATGGGTAGATAGGAGAGTATTTAGATATATAGATAGGTATATGCAAAACTATACAAATGAAAAACTGAGGCTGTTATGAACTCCAGGAAAAAAACCAAAAAGTTGTACAAAAACATGAAAGCCACAGGTGTTTCAGGAGTGAATACAATTTACACAGCCATAATGTAGAACATGAATGTTGAGGTAGTCTTACAGAAGGCTACAAAGAAAGGAAAATGTGTGTGTGTGTGTGTATTTGCACACATATCTGTGCATGCATGTGTTAGAAGAACTAAGTTCTACTCTTCCACATTAGAAGGTCAAAGCTGACATCTACGACTAAAAAAACTGAGAAACTGATAAGCTTATTACTAAAAATGTGGATGTAATTTTTAGAGGAAAAAAGCTAAAGTAACTGAAAGTTGTTACCTATGACAAAAGAGGGTGGTGCTTTTTTATCTTTTCTGTCTTTGTCTCCTTATTTACCACCCATGTTACACTGATGGAAATCAAGTTTTAATTTAAAAAAGGGTAAAGATTTGGGTGTTCACCCTGACAGGTACCACAAAGCATGTAGATGTGACACAGCCCACGAGGAAACTACAGGTTAGCTGGGGAGAGCATGCACACACGAAGAGACACAGAGTTCTGGAAGAGGAAGAGTGAGTTGGCACAGGGGAAGTGAGGCTTGGCAGTTGCTTTCAATCAGATGTAGAAATGCAGGGGTGAGGAAGTAACATTCTCTACACCAATTTTTCGTCATGGCTTCTTACCGCCATCCCCTTCCCGCCCCAGATACCTGTCTGTTTCTCTGCCTCTGCCATAACTGATGCCTCTTACAACATGGCCAGAACCATCTCCACATCCACTGAGATGGGACCACTCTGTCCAAAATGGTCTCCCACCCCCACACCACTGCTAACCCCTTACCCTGCTTCATTTTCTTCCTACTCTTACCTGGCATTACAGTTTCTATTTATTGCTTTTCTCGCCTTGTGGACTCAAAAGTCCATGAGGACAAGGATTAGGTCTGTGTTGTTCATGGCAGCTTCCACAGAGCCCAGAGCACAGAAACATTCAATATATATCTATTGAATAAATGAATGAGTAAACACCACCAGTCTTCCCAGGGCAAGACACACACTACATCTCAAACTCCTCTTGAAGTCTGGGCTGAGAATGTACATTTCTTAATACAACTATTTGATGCTTTTATCCCAGAAAGAAAATTCCTTTCATCAAGTCCTCAGTTTCCCCATCTGTAAAATGGGAACTTCTATTCTCCCAGAGGCCATTAGAAGCCCTCCTTGGCCTCCCATATCTTCTCCCACTGGGAGACAGACCAAAATGGTCCCTCCTCCTTCCCCATTACCGTCCCACAGGGGAACAAAGTTCAAGCCCCACCTCATCTGCTTCCTTACATTTCTGGATCTCCACGACCTCACTGGGATAGAGTTCCACCTCCAGGCGCCCATCTGCCTTGCTCTTGTCCAGCCAGCGGTTGGCCGGGAAGGTGTACTGCTTGCCTTGGCGGGGCACACGGATCTGGACGCTGCCCAGGAACCAGCTGGCGTGCATGCCAGTGCTGTCATGCCCAATTATCAGCCGGTTGATCTCGAAGGAAGCACAGGTACAGGTGAGCAAGAAGCTGGTGCTTAACCTCGTTTCCCTCCATAGTTCCCTGAAACCTGCACAAACTGCTGTCCTCCGGCATGTCCTCCATTTCCCAGGAAGGGCGGTGTCCCAGCCCTGGTCCATCATCAGCCAGCTGACGGACACTGCCTCTCCTGCTTGGCGCCTCCAGGGGACTTGTGAGGAGCAGGTGGGGTGCATTGTGGCAGGAACTGTGGCAGCTCCAGTGGGTATTTAATCATGCCAGGAGGCGGCCAGCAGGAAAGCTCACACTCCAAATGTCAGCGACTGCTTCTGATAGCATGCGCGTGATTTGGTTGGGTTTGACGCACTCCACAAGTGTACATGTGTCTGCACTTCTCCTTTGACATAGCCATCCTACAGGTGACAGACAGCGGACAGCCCCTCAGGGCTCTGTGGCTTTGCAGCTCATTCTTCCTCTCACTCTGGGGCCCAAGGAACATTTTTTTTTCTTTCTAGAGTCCACTTGCTTTGCTATTTTAGCATCTCTGCCCCCAGGCAACACAGATGATCTCACAGAGGATGGTGTTACCATCCTTATATGTACTTGACTTTTCAGTGCCTGGATGACTATAATGTTCTGTTATTGATCTTTTTTTTTTTTAATGCTACAAACAGGGCCATTGTAACCTAAGATGGAATTATCAAGTGGCCTTTGAGATCCCTTCTAGCCCCCAGATTTTTTCTGTGATGGCTTGGAAGGATCATATCAGCCATGAGTGTGGTGCCAGAAGACCAGATATAGAAAATTTCCCCCGGGAGCCCTGCTGCTGCTCTTGGGGGTTCTAAGTGCCTCTTTGCAGCTGGGAATGGAAACAGCGTCATAGCTGGGTGCATGGAGCCCCAGCCCCCTGGCCTCGCCGGGAGGAAACCAGAGTGTTCACACAGCCTGGGAGCCTCTTGTGTGCGTGCACGGGACTCTGGAGAGTTGGTCATCTTCCTGCAGAGCTGAGTCTGTGACAGCCCAGGAAAAGTGAGCTGAGAGTGAAGGGACTTTACATCAGATCAGAAGTGATACCAGAAGACACCTCTGATATGACTGGAAGCTCCTTAAGGGACTGTTTCTACTTGACAAAGCCCAGATAGACATAGAGCAACTGTTCAGTCAATGTCAAGTTGTGTTTATTGAGCATTGACTGTATGCATGTGGGAGTTACTAATGCAGTTAATACTAATAACAATCCCATGAAGACCCCTGCTCTTAGCAATGACAAAATCCAGACAAAAAGAAGGAAGTAAGTTATGCACAGAGGGTAGGTAGAAATGTTGGGTCTCGAGCCCAGGCAGTCGGCAGCCAGAGACCCCTCCAGAGCTCCCAGCCTCTTGGCCACACTGCTCGATGCGGGGCTTTCAGAATCACAGAAAGGCCCCAAACACCACCCTTTCCTCTCTGATGTCTCTTATCTGAGTCCATGAGGATCCAAATCCCTAGTGAAGGGAACAGTATTTCATGCGACGCTGCCAGCTCAGTTTAAACTGCAAACACATTTGGATCAAGAACTGCAATTTAAGCTCATTACCATCAGGGCAGGAATGACTGACATGAGACTTTCCCCCGAGGGCATTTGACAGGGCTCCTAAAACAGGGAGAGGTTCACTGAGAGCCATAAGGGGCTGGAAAGGCAGGGTCCTGGATGGCTAGTGTCACCTGCTCAGTTTCCATGAGCCATGCTGCGGGGCCGGGCCTGTTCAGGTATCTGTAGACATGTTTCCAACATTCAAGCACCAGGCTAGAGTGCCGCTCTGCTCCAGGTGCAGGTCTCAACCTGCCTGAGCGGGCAGCTGGGCCCTCTCAGAAACTGGAGGTTTGCCTCTGGGGCAAGGCCTCTGAGTGTCCCAGGAGGGTGTACTGCTCTGAGCCTCCCGGGCACAGCTCTGATGCTGCACGCTCGAGTTCAGAATTAGGGAGAGATTTCAGCTCCTCTGTACATGTTTTCCTTTCCTTTCCCTTCCCTTTCTGTGCCTGGGACCCAGCTTCATTGGTCCTGGCTCTGCAGATACAGGAAATGCTGGGACTTAGTCACTAGAATAACATTTCAGTCCCACAGCATCTCTGGAAGAGACTTCATCTGCTCTAGGTCAGAACTGGGAAGTAACATACCTCACTCACCTAAAAGCAGGCGTCTTTCCCCTCAAGATGGGTTCACCGGTGTGTGTACGTGTGTGAGTGAGTGTGTGTGTTTAGTGGGTGAGGTGGGTTGTGTGTGAACCCATGTGTGCATATATCCAGGGAGCTGGGCGAGATATCACACACCACCTTGGGAAAGAGACTTACAGTTCCAATGTTTAGGGTCTCCAGGGTGAACTCGTCTACCCGGCCACGTTCAAAATAGTCTTTCAGATTGTTGTCAGAGACAAGAAGAACTTGCTTGATGGTGTCAGATTTCTCCCCATAGAGTTTGATGTAGACTCTGGAATCTGTGCTGGCCCCAGAGACATCCCCAGTCTTCAAGCTGATGTGGTAGCGAAAATCTGACACGTACAGGAAGGAGGCAAGGTAAGAGAGAGGCAGGTTGAGTATAGGGCGAGAGGTGAGGTCCGGCCAGAGAGACCTGGGACGCAGGCCTGGGCTCAAGAGCCTGGGATCCCGCTTTCTCCAGGAAGCCCTGCAGTTGGGACAGACCCTCCGAGAGGGCCCAGCTGCCCTCTCAGGCAGGTTGAGACCTGCTCCTGGAGCATAGTGGCTCTCTAGATTTGCGCTTGAGTATTCTGCTACGTCCTCAGGGAGACCAGCGTGCCCCTGTGGAGTCCTCTTACCTATAACATTGGAGTCCTAAGACTTGTTTGGCCTCCCACGGGGTGTGGGGGGCACCTGCCACCAAGGACACACCCACACCCAGTGTCAGGACACTCACTCTTCAGTGTTGCGTTGCTGTCACTGGGCAGCAGCTCTCGCACCAACTGCCCGTCATCCTTATCTTTGTCCAGCCACCTGGGGGGGAGGGGCAGACAAGGGGAGTGAGCGCTTCAGGCAGGCAGACAAGCAAATTTCACACATTTTATGCTGAGTCACCAGGGAGACCAGTGCTCAGAACAAAGGACCCCAATCCAAACTGGAGAAGATGCTTCACTTTGAGAAGGTGACATCCGATTGAGATAGTAGGATGGATGGCAAGGAGTTCACCAGAAGCACATCTAGAGGAGCAACATAGGCCGGGATGTGCTGATGAAGCCAGTGTGGACGGAATGTAAAAGTCAGAGCGGTTGGCAGGTGAGGCAGCAGAAGTGGAAGCGTCACATGATACGGGGCCTTGGCAATCATGTAGGAAGTTTGTTCTCCAAAGTCAGGAACACCTGCGTCATGGTCGTTATCAACAGCAACCACCTCTTTTTCCAAGATCCTACCATGCAAATGATGCAATGTTGAGGTCTCGTCAGTGAGGAAAGGCAGACAAGACACACTAAGGCAGACGAAACAAAGCCCAGCCTTTCAGGACCCCACCAGCTAGCTAAGAAGGCAGGCTAGACCGACAAAGCCCTGAAGACCAAGACAAGGATGGATGCTGGGCCAGAGTAAGTGCAGTCAGAATATTGGGAACGTTCCTAGCGAAGGGGCTTTGAACTGAGGCTGAGTTTTTCAAACTAAGAAAAGCTGTGACTCATGAGTCCAAGGCGTGGGCCATGGCCCCAGCTCGCTACTGGCTGGCCACAAGGGAAAGACACTGGATTGGATGCCTGAAAGTCACCTTTCTCTCTGGACCTGGGAACCCCCAGAGACGTCAGACAAGTGTGTGGGCACGAGGTACGCTGAGCTGTGACGGATTCCCTCAGTGCTCTTTGGGGCAGTGGGGACCCCGAGATCCTTTCCTCTTGAGCAGATTGCCTGTGTCTCCCCATTTGTCTTTGAAGCCCACCCTCTCCAGACTGCTGAGAGGGAGGCAATTCCAGGGCCATCGGATCAAAGAAAACCAGGGCACCTGGATTTATCTCCTCCTCCTTAGGAGGACTCAGGCCCCTTTGTGCAGCCAGACCCCCTCAATGCTGTCCTCTCTTCCAAAGCACCACCCCATCCTTGAGATCACTGCAGGCAACACCAGGTGTCCCCCTCTCCTCTCGGAACCCTCCCTCTCCAAGCACAGAATCTTCTATACCCAGGACCTTGCTATATGTGGCTACTAACCCCATGGGCATACTTGCCAGCAGCTAACTTGTCACATTTCCTGTGGGCTTTGGTGTTGTGGATCTAGAACACCAGAGAATGTTTGCTCTTTGACATACAGATGCGATTGTGGACTTCTTAGCATTGATGACAGGGGAAGGGCGAGGTTTTTGGGAGAAGAGGGCTGCAGCCTAGAGCCCTTCAGCCAACCCTGGGGGAGCCTCCCCTGTCGAGGTCACTCTGACATCTCCCACAGACATGGAGATGGCAGGAGGAGCGTTGGTCAGGCAGTCATTGATCGTGATGTGAAAGACGGCAACCAGCTGTCGCCGTGGGAAAACCCCACCTGCTCTCCCTTCACTCTCTCCTCCTCTTATCCATCACCAGGCCCTCCCAGCAGTCAAAGGAAACCATGACTTGTCATCTCAGATTTTCCCTAAATGCTGCAAGGTATTAATAGATGTTTCCAAATATAACCATTTTCTTTCAGCTTCAAGCACTGCAGCCCAGTTTTAGAGTGAGATGTTGCTAAATGGATAAGCAAGTCTGTTGATGATTTTGTTACTCTTTCCCTGCACTCACAAGAATGTGAGAGGATGCACATGTGTGTACACACACACTCACACACACACTCAAACACCACTCCCTGATCCTGGCAGAGAAGTTTTGATAAAGGCACCATCTAGAAGTCAAGGAATGCTTGGCTGCCAAATGCGAGAGAGGTCTACAGCAGATCCTGCTCAGAGCTCCTTCACAGGAAGCATAACCCTGTCAACACCTTGACCTTGGACTTCTGGCCTCCAGAACTGACAGAGATTAATCCCATTGCTTTGGGCATGCAGTTACATTAGCTCTCACTCACTAGTACACACTGTCACGGACTCCACGAAATCTCCTACCCAGATTCCTTTGTATGTGTCCTCTACCCAAAGCCAAAGAGAACCTTCTAAAATGAAAGTGCTCTGCCTGGCTCTGTCACTGTCCATCTCCCACCTCACCTGTGGTCTTCTTTGTCCACCTGCTTTAGCCTGGCTGGAGTTCTAGAACCCTCAAGCTCACACCCTGACACTTTCCTTTTTATTCTACAAGAAGTCTGCCTGAGAGTCCCCTCTGTAGACACAGACCTTACTCATTAGCTCCATCTCATGCCCCCTGCACCTCGCTGTGGTCACTGCCATCAGCCAGGGGCCACTGTGTGCATCCTGCCACTCTCTGTAATCATGGCTTTGTTTACATGCTCATTGTTTAGGTCCCCTATAGACTACAAACTTCATGAGGATAGGAAATGGTATACAGCAAGTGCTTAATAAATAGCCTTTGAAAGGTTGGGAAGACACCAAACAAGACTGTTCTATTCAGCATGCCCTCCAGGAAGCCTCTACGCCCAAAAGGGGCCGAGGGGCAGTGAGTGACCAGAGAAGAGACCAGTGCTCCCTCACCCCACCCTTTTTCAGGCCCAGGTCCAGTCCTACCCCTGCCAGGAAGGTTTCCATTGGTGTCACCCATTGGGGGCCTTTGTACCAGAACTGAGGTCTCGTAATACCAATGGTGCCTACATTTAGAA